TGCTAAATCTAAAAAACTTCAGGAAAAATATAGGAACGTATGAACTTGTATAGCTTTTTAGTGGGTGCCCTGGTTTAGTGAGTACATGTAATTTATAACTTTTTCCCCCATTATATTGCAGCCAGGATGATATAATTATGTGTCGGCTGGCAGGGTCAGTCCCTTTAACTAAGTGACTTATAGTTAACAAATATACAGTAGGGACGAAACGAAAAACAAAGTTGGAGAAAAACGTGACATGTTTACTCAACGCGATAAAAGATCAAAGGAAGTGAGTAGTAAGCCCCGGTAGGCACAGTGGCATCCACCCTGAAAGTCATTACGTAATGGAAAAATGGATGACTTAAGAAGAGAACAAGGGAATCGCGACTTTGATGCGCTGCCGCAACCATTTTTGGAATCACTGACGAGTTAGAATGACGTCAAGTATAGTTTCGTTTTTATTTTGTGGCAACGACAATATTTTTTAGGAGTAGAGGAAAGGAGAGTTCTGAATTGGGATCTTAGGGATCTGGAGTTGAGGGAGCTCCGGAGAAGGAAGGCTAAGTCGTGGGAGGGAGGCTTATCTGAAAATGGGGACAGGGAGCCTTATCGAGCTACTACGTCACAGAAAAAGGACGTGTGCTGAAGTTTTATTAATTTGGTGATTTAGGTATTGAGTAGTTATATGATAATCTACAAACTTTCTTACTTATATTGAGTTCATTTCCTTAAACAGATATAAAATGAAATGTTTCCTTCACAGTTTTTGGAAAATAATTATTTTCTTACTTGCATTTACCCAAAGGTTGAATGTCTATAATACTGCTACATATAATGGGTTTAATAGAGAAATTTAAAACCAAATAATAAGTTTATTAAAATACAAATCATAGTGAGTACTATGTTTTAATTTAGACATTTAGTAGTTATATGACCACTTTCTTATTTATATTGAATTCTTAAAAACATATATCAAGTACAAAAACATATATCAAGTGACTGATACAGTTCATTTCATTAAAGCAGATATTGAGTATATAATAAAACGTTTCTTCACCTCTTTGGAAAATAAGTACTTTTTACTTGAATTTACCCGAAGGTGGAATGTCTATAATACTGCTACACATAATGGGTTTCATACAGATAATAACATTTTAAACCAAATCAGAAGTTTATTAAAATACAAACCATAGTGAGTACTATGTTCTTAATTTGGACATTTGAGTAGTTATCCATGCGATCAATGTGTAAACTTACTTATATTGAATTCTTAAAAACATATATCAAGTAGGTGTTTTAGTTTGACTTTGATACAGTTTAATTTCCTATACACATATATAATAAAATGTTTTTCTTCACAGATAACCTCTTTGGAAAATAATTATTTTGTTACTTGTCTAAGGTTGAATGTCTATAATACTGTTACATATAATGGGTTTCATACAGAAATTTTAGACCAAATCAGAAGTTTATTAAAATACAAATCTTATTGAGTACTATTTCGTAATTGGATGATTTAAGCATTTATTAGACATGTGATAACTTACTTTCTTATATTGAGTTCTTAAAAATATATATCAAGTACGTGTTTTAACTGACTGATACAGTTATTTTCTTTAAATAGATATACAATAAAATGTTTCCTTCACAGTATAACCTTTAAGATAATTATGTTCTTACTTGTATTTATTCTATGACTGAATATCTACAAAACTGCTACATACAATAAGTTTGATGTGGTGTGTGTGGTGTGTATTTAATTATGGCAAAGCACACTAGGGCTATCTGCCTAAGGGGAGGGATGCCTTCGTGGAGGACTTTCTAAAAACTGCTACAATCATGCAGCCAGCCGTTCGCGGGATTTCGGACCGAACTATCAGCGACTTTACCGCTCGGCCGCTGCTGGGCCCAATAATAGACAATAAAGACAACTTTTAAATCAAATAATTAATTTATTAAAATGCAAACAATATTCAGTATCATAAAAGACATTTGATAAATGATATAAAATAATATCAGGTATAAAATAAAGATGACATGAAATAATTATAAAAGGACACTGAAGATGAACTATATACAAATAATAAAATATTATAAAATTTGATCTATACCATAATGTCCATATGCTAAACTATTCACTCCGTCATTTAATAAAAATCGTTTATGATCTAATGGGGATAAACTTATTTTTCGCAATAAAATCGTGCTAAGGTGATGCTTACGACTTTCAATTTTGATCATATTGTGTGCCTATGCAGCTTTTTTCCGAAAAAAAGACAGTTTCCTGTAATCTTCATGTTTTAAGTCACGCTGAATTACAGGTTTTAAAACCCCTTTTGCAGTCTTCTTTTCGAATAATTCAGTTTTCAGAGAGTACATTTTGCTCTTTAACCCAATAAATTCAATGGCAATATTCCCGTTTAGTTCATCTTTCATCTTTCCGATGACCTTTTTATTTGCCTGGCTGTGTAAAGGGTGCTCTGTAGGGTAATCGGACGTATCATACATATGCAAATCTTTTAGCATATCATGGTAGAAATCTTGACATGAGATTTCATAACACAGAGAATCAGTATCTGTAAAAAGAAGATGGACATTTTTTCCATACTTCATCTTCATGAAATCATAGTGAAATTGATACATAAGTGTTTTAGAAATATCTAAAATAGAGAATCCAGCATATACAGGCCGATTCAAAGTTAACGTCTTGATTTGCATTTTTACAGCTACTAAATCATTGTCAAAAATGGAAAATGATTGAAATGCAGGAGAAGCGATGCATTTCTTAGCTATTTTTTCATCATTTACAAGTCTAACATCGATACGAGCTCTTAAGTTCTCCATAGTCTTACCAAAAACAGCATTGTTCATCAACTTGAAAAAAGTCTCTTTCAAAAGCTGAGCTGCAATTCTTCCTTTGATTGGTATTAAATTCTATATATGGTTTTAACCAAGGTGACTGCTCAAACATGAGAATTTTATGCACCTTTCTTAACTTTAAACCTAATTTAAGATAGAGTTTTAAGTTTCTGTAATGCACTATATAATGTTCCTTATCATTTAAATTAGGTATAAGCTTTGTACCCCCCCATTAATGATTGATTTATAGCTTTCATATTTTTTTTCAAATAAGGCGAAAATAATGTCTCATTTAATGTTACTTTTTCAGGAGCTAGAGGGAATTCGTTGTGCAGATCATGTAAATTTTTAGGATAAGCTAGATCACACTCGAAAATGTATCCCACAGAGCCCTCATCTTCTATTTCTAATATGGCCTTTTCATCCATACTGTTAGGATCTTGCCATTTAAAGTTCATCAAAGGTAGAGGCTGAACCATTGCCCACCCATATAAATTATTTTTATCAAAGTACATGATGTACTTACTCGGAAGGGTAGGTAGGATCATAATCACTTAAATATTTGTTATTGGCTCTACTATACTCTTTGATATCATTGATACCCCACCTCTGATACCTTTTTCTAGAAACAAATGCATCGTTGGATCTGTCAAAAGTTCCATCTTCACCTGTGTCATACGTAAGCAAGCCTGCCAAGCTAGACCAGGTGCCGTAAACATATGACACGGATCTAATTTGTAAAAGTGCATGCATAGCTCTCGAAAATTTTCAAAAACATCAGCAAGAAGTAAACAGTCCGTTTTTAAATAGAGATCATGATATTCACCGAGATTATGAAGTTTAAACATTTTCCACACCATCTGAGCATGCTGGTAGTCAGACGCGGATAATTCTTCTTTGGTGATATTTGAGAAAAAGGCTTCTCTAGGCGGTAAATGAGTTTTTAAAGCTATCCATGTATTCATATGGATAAACTCCTTTTCTGAGAAGCAATGAGATTTTGTCGTTTTGAAAATGTTCTCGTATTATTACAAATTTTTGTGGAGACAAATTTTCAACAAGTTTCTGCAAAGATGTGGGCAGGAACACGAGGGAATCTAAAAACTGTAGCTGTCCTGTAGAAAAAGAAATGTATTTCTCCATGTTATTTGCAATGCAATTAATACGTTTTAATTTTAATTTTCCTAGTTCCTGAACTATTAGATGACTGTCATAACCACGAAGATTGTGAAATATAACAGGAATCTTCCAACTTAATTGATAATTTAAATTAAAAGCAGAGTGTGCTGCAGAGTGTGCTTACAGCTCCTGTTAAAATTTTCTTGCTCTTCTAAAGTTTTACCTTTTCCACAGGGAACATGTTTTGAAATAATATTCATACTCGATGCTTCTGGATTATTTAAGCAACCACTAATTTTGGGTAGTATACATTCGAAATCAGTATATATAACATACGGTATCCTAAGCTGAAATTTAAAATTATCAAAAGTTAACAACTTATTTTTCACATCAGGCATTTTAATTTTTTGAGGACCAAAATCTGAACAATATTGTACGTGATCTTTTAGTAAATCTTCCCGCGAATACCTGTGCAGGCAATAATTACAATAAAATCTCTTCCCATTATGTTTTGATAAACTGCTAAGCAATCTACTGACATTTTTTATTAAACAGTAATGAGATTTTTCACCTTCTGTTATATATATAAAGAAAAATTAACATGGGTGGTATACCTTTGCTTTGTAATGTGAAGTTTAAATATTTCTTTATCATACCCGATAACGTTAACTGAAATTTCATTCACTGTTTCAAACTTTGGAATTTTATCCACTGCTACGGGGAAAGAAAGAGTGCCACAATTCAGTTCATGCTCATACGGTAAGTATTTTCCAACCCTTGACGCATTCTTCTTCTGAGGATGAAGAGCGGCAAGGATACACCAAAGGAAACATTTGTTATCTTCATTTACAATATTTAGAATAGAATTTGTATTTTCTAGGCTCCGAGGCAAATGCAGAAATGATGAACCACTAAGGGGAACATAACTTGCTACTTTTAACTCAAGTCTTTTTACTTTGTCTAAGATCCACCCACTTCCCCTTTCCAAGAATTCGTCATAAGACGACATAATTTTTCTTACGGCTACGGAGAGATTATCATCAAAGTTGCTCATCCAGATTTAACATACACGCACTTCTAAAATGGGCTGTAGTTGTTTCTATTTCTTGTTCGGTTACAAACCTTATGAATTTCGCACTAACAACGTAGTACCATTTAATACCTCTATTAAGTGTTAAATATTCCCGTAACCGTTCGCGTACACTATCTTGAACAGTTGAAAGAAAAACGGTGAGATCTTCATCGGATCCATCCTCGGGTAAAATGATATATTGTTTGAAGGAGTTAAGAGCTTCCTCACAATCAGGAAAAGTTTTCTTTAATTTCTTGGCTGGGGGTAGAGATGCTTGTATATGGGAGTTTGCTTCTGAAGTTGACGGTCTTTTCAGGCACTTTGTTTCATGGTGCTTGGCAGCATACCGACGAGCAAATCCCTTTCCGCAATGGCCACATTTAATATCTTTTGCATTCTCGGAGTGTAGCCTCTCATGCCTCAACATGTTATTTCGAGCCGAAAATGATTTTTGGCAAGTTGTACATTTCCACTACAAAAGGAAAAAAAAATTCCAAAATTAGTCTTATTAATTTTAACCTCTAAAGTGTTTGTGAAAAAATTACTAAATCATAAAAATATGTTCTACGCCCCCTTTTTTTAACAAAACTAATATTAACTGAATATGATGTTATGCATGATTATTTTAAACATTTTATTTTTAGATATTTTTGTTCATCTCGTAATATAAAGTACTTGGAAATTTAGTTTTAGTAAAATTTAGTTCAGAAAAATTTAGTTTTAGTAAAATTTAGTTCAGAAATTTAGGGAAGAAGCATCTAGAAATTTAGTTTAGTATTTAAAGACAACTTCAATTGAGGATTTTTTTTTAACACAGAACTTTAACGTTCCCACATAAACATAATAACATAAAAAATATGTTCTAATAAGAATACATATATAAATATATCAATAAGCAATCGCTGATTGACTCATAAACACACCTTCATAATTTTATCCTTTAAAAATGTAATGAATGAAAAAGTTCATTACATTTGTTACACAATAAAAACAAGAAACAAGCATAAAAGCTCTCATTGTTTTAATTGGTTTCCTTATAATTTCACAATTACTTAATGAGATGTTAGCATTCTATTTACATTCCTAATCACTGTCTATTTTTCACATAAATCAATATAAATGAAATGCTAAAGAGAAAGATACATAGACGTTCATTCAGCATGGAAACAGTTCTCGAAGTTATCAATATTAAACATGATCATAGAAAAAGCAGAATTATCACCCCAAAAGATAGTATTTTGCTTTTTAATTCTTTCCCACCCCTAAAATTACATTCATTCTACTTCTTCATTAAAGATGCTATGAACATCAACAATAATTTAAAAAGGGACTTACGATTCCATTCCTTGCTTGATTTAAAGAAGAAGAAATGCTTCCGTTGATTTCATCATTTTTAACTTCGTCGTCAAAGTCAGAGACATCCGGTCTTGAAAAATAATTTGCCACTTCAGCGAATTCCCTGTTTCCTCCTCCTTTAATGGCCACGGTTCAGCATCAAACTATTAATTACCCAAATACAAACATTTTAAACCTGGATGTTAAGTTGCTACATTAATTTTTTTAATCGTTCATTTTAAAAATACAATAGAATTTTACATAATGAAACTTTTATATTATTTAGAGATAATTAATTATTTTCTATAAATCTGAGATTTATTTCTATTGGTATATAAATCAAATCTCTTAATACGATTCAATTAAAGATTTTTTATTATTTAATTGAATTAATCCATTAACCTTTCTAAAGTTAGAGAATTAAATAAAGAATTATAAAATTACTTACTTCTTTTATCGGATCCATCTTTCAACACCACTGCCCCCAACTATGACGCTATTCCAGATGATAATAAAGTCCCTTCGCATGGCCTATATATTGCTATATGCTGCTTTTATCGCAAACGGTAGACTAAGATAATAAATATTGGCATTATGATTACACGTACTTTCTTAGACGGTAGTAATCAATGTGATGCATGACGTGTTATCTTTCGTAAGCTTTGAAATGTACATATTAAACAGTTTTAGACTTTTATCTCAACTTTAACTTCTAATGATGTGATCTCGTTCTTGTTCACTATCTTACTTATTTAATATTAGTCTTATGATTACACGTACTCTCTTAAACAATCTTAATCAATGGGGTACGTGACTTGTTATCTTTTCCAAACTTTGAAATGTACATATTAAACAATTTCAACCCTTTATCTCAACTTTTACTTCTAGTGGAGGAATCTCGTTCTTAGTCAGTATCTTACTTATCTAACAGTATTAGTCTTATGATTACGCGTACTTTCTTAGACGGTAGTAATCAATGGGGTACGTGACGTGTTATCTTTCCCAAACTTTGAAATGTACATATTAAACGGTTTTAGACCTTTATCTCAACTTCTAGTGGAGGAATCTCATTCTTAGTCAGTATCTTACTCATCTAATATTAGTCTTATGATTACGCGTACTTTCTTAGACGATAGTAATCAATGTGGTACAGGACGTGTATCTTTTACAAATCTTGAAATGTACATATTAAACAATTTCAAGACTTTATCTCAACTTTGATTTCTACTACAGTGATCTTATTCTTGATCAGGAAGCTCTATTTTACTTCTTCGAGAAATTTCTATCATTTATGCATGTAGTGTGAAAGTGAATGTGTTCATTTTGTAAAAGTGAGAAAAATTATGGATAGTATTATAGAAACTTATAAAGATCCCAGAAAACCGGAAAGTTTCGGTGGAATAAATGCGTTGTACCGTATCGGGGAAAAGAAAGTTTCAGAAAGTAAAATTGGGAAGTGGCTGGAAAGTAATGACGCGTACACGCTTCATAAACCTGTGAAAAAAACGTTTAAAAGAAATCGTGTAATTGTTGGTCATATAGATCAACAATGGCAAGCAGACTTAGTAGATCTCAGCAATTTAGCAAAGCATAATAATGGTTTTAAATATTTATTAACATGTGTTGATATCTTATCGAAATATGCATGGGCAACACCTCTGAAAAATAAAACTAGTAAAAGCATTACAAATGCCTTTGAAAAAATATTTTCTGAACGCAAACCGAAATTTTTACAAACAGATAAAGGAAAGGAATTTCTAAACATAAATTTTCAAAATTATTTAAAAAGTCTGAAAATTCTGTTCTTTACTACACACAGTGAACTGAAAGTGAGTGTTGTTGAGCGATTTAATCGCACCCTTAAAACAAAGATGTGGAAATATTTTACACAATTCAATACACGTAAGTATATTGATGTTTTAGACGACTTAATGCATAGTTACAATCATTCTGTACATAGAAGTATTAAAATGAAACCAGTATCTGTAACGAAAGAAAATGAAAAGTTAGCATGGAAAAATTTATATGGACGTATTGAAAATCCTAAGTCACCTCGTCTTAAGGTGGGGGATATTGTAAGAATAAGCAAACAGAAAATGAAATTCGAAAAAGGTTATGAGCAAAACTGGTCTCGAGAATTATTTAGCATTTATGAAGTATTAGCACGCGAGATTCCTGTTTATAAATTAAAAGACTTATCTAATGAAATCATCAAAGTTTCATTTTATGAGCAGGAATTACAGAAAGTGAATGATAGCGGGTATTACCTTGTTGAAAATGTTTTGAAAAAAACGGAAGGTAGGTGGGAAAACAGAATATTTTGTAAAATTTGAAGTGTATCCTAAAAAATTTAATGCCTGGGTCTCTGATGTGAAAATGGTATAAAGCTGTGAAATACACTTTTAATAATTAGTTGGAATCATGTCATGTCTTTCTATATGACACTCGTAAGCGATTCTTCTCTACACTACTTCCCTGAAAATAAAATTTCCCATTTCATTATGCAGTTACCATCTAGTATAAATCTCAATGGAGAGTTCGAGGCAGGCATTTCCGAAATAATTTACCCACATTTGTGGTGCAACATAAACGAAAACAACAATTTATTTGGCTTCGACTTGGGGGATGGGAAAACTATTTCAAGACGCATTCCTGCAGGTTATTATGAAACCCTTCCAGATTTAGTTAAAGCTATCATGATTCCCGATCTAAGGGGTAAAGTTGAATTCAATTTCAACAGTGTGATGAAGCGTGTAAGAGTAAAAACATTAAAAAAATACTAAAATAAATTTGACAGAAGGAATCAGTGAAATTTTAGGATTTGAACCGACAGAAATTCAAGGCGTGGCTGATAGTCCGTACGTAGCCGATTCATATGAGTCGTTTTCAGTTATTTATGTATATTCGGATATTGTAGAACCACAACTTGTAGGTGATACTCAAGCACCTCTACTGAGAATAGTGAAAGTTAATGGGAAAGATGGAGAAATGGTAAGTGCTCATTATGAACGTCCGCAGTATTTTTCCGTGATTCGCCAACATTTTCAGACAGTGGAAGTAGAACTTCGATTTAACTCAGGGCAGCTAGTACCATTCGAAAGAGGCAAAGTGTGGCTTGTTTTGCATTTCAGAATGAAACACATTTTATAAGTATAAACACATCGCAAAAATTGACATTCACATCACAGACTTCAAAGAAGACGTATGTTCCATACAACTGTTGCGCAAAAGCTTATGAAGACTTTTATACTACGCAAGTAGGATCTGGGCTTCCTTATTATCAAGGAACTTCTTTTCAAAAAGGGTATGGATTTGGAGGATTTTTTAGACGATTGTTTCGTACTGCGATGCCGTTCTTTATCAAAGGCGCGAAAACAGTAGGGAAAGAAGCTTTGCGAACCGGAACACATATTGCGAGCGATGTGTTATCGGGGAAAGATTTTGAAACCTCAGCTAAAGAAAGAACTCGGGAAGCGAGCAAAACGCTAGCTCAAAGAGCTATAAGAAAAGCGCATGACATGTTAGGCAGCGGAAAACGCAAAAGAAAGCGGAAAATGCCAAAACGTATCATTTCTTCGAAAGCTAGGAAGGTGAAAGGACGTGATATTTTTTTATCTGTAATTATTACATTTGTATTGAAAGACTCACCCGAATGCGTCAAATCGGAACTGAATCTATTTCTGACGTCTCCTACTCAAACAGTAGTTGAAAGGAGACAATGGGTTCAATTTCATCCGTTAGCAAATGTTAGCGATGGGGGTCCTATTGAATTTCACATTTCTGGAAGGGAAGATTATTTAGCTCTATCAGAAACTCACCTGTATGTAAAAGAAAAAATTCTCAACTCGGATGGTTCACAACTGCAAAAAGATGCCAAAGTTGGACCAGTTAATTTATTTCTCCACTCTTTGTTTTCTCAAATCGATGTGAAATTAAATGAAAGGCTGATAACGTCTTCAGATAATACATATCCATATCGAGCACTTATAGAAACGTTACTAAATCATGGTTATGATACTAAAGTATCGCAATTAACTTCGGAATTATTTTATAAAGATACACCAGGCCATATGAACATTGATGGAAATGAAGGATTTAATAAACGAGCTGAATTTTTTAAACTAAGTGCTGCTCTAGATATGATAGGCAGACTGCATCTGGATTTATTTCATCAAGAACGCTTATTACTGAATTTAGTGGATGTCAAATTAAAACTTATTCGCAGTAAACCAGAATTTTGCTTAATGGCGGAAAATGGTGACTACAAAGTCGCACTTGAACACGTTTCACTTTTCGTGCGTAAAGTTCATGTTAGTCCAGCTGTTTCACTAGGACATGCTAAAGCTTTGGAAAAAGGTTCTGCAAAATATCCCATTCAAAGAGTTCTATGCAAAGTATTTTCCATTCCTCAAGGCAATATGTCTTTTGTTCAAGATAATGTATTTGTGGGTCAGATGCCCAAACGTATCATTGTGGCTTGTTTAGATAACGATGCCTTAAACGGAAATTATAAAAATCGCCTTTCGAATTTAAGCATTACCATATGAATTTTGTAGGGGTTTACGTGGATGGGCAGCTTTTACCTTATAATTCAGTTGAGCCTAATTTTGATCAGAACAATTATATTAGAGCATTCCAAAGTTTATTTCTTGGAACTAACACAGAAGACCAAGGAATTGATATATCTAGAGAAGATTATGCTAAAGGATACACACAATTTGCATTCGATTTAAGTCCGGATTTATGTGATGGAGAGCATTTTAATCTTATTCGTCACAGCAATTTAAGACTTGAAGTGAAATTTGCTGTTGCTTTAACAGACAATATCAGTTCTCGTTTATGCATAGTTCGAAAGTGTTCTTGAAATAAATAAGTCAAGGACTGTTTTGTCAGACTTTTAAATGTATGCTTCGGTTATTCAAAAATTTTATCTCAGGACTCACAGACAGCTCCTTTTTTCCAAGGTGTGTTTCCAGCTGATCGCTTACCTATTATCCATGCTACTCCATCTTGTTTTGTTATGAATACAGATCCTCAAGATAAACCTGGGCAGCATTGGGTTGCCTGGTTCATCGAGAACAAATCAACAGCCGAATTCTTCGATTCATATGTTATGCCTCCATCTGTTTATGGTTTTCAAATCAGTAATGG